AGAGTAAAAACAAAATTTCGAATTCAGTCAAAACAACAACACAACAACAACCCTCCACAATATTTCAAGGGCCACGCCACAGTGAATACGAAACGGTGGTTCCTGAATAAATAACGTCACGAAGTAGTGTGCTTTTTAAAGAGCCCCAAGTTACCGACAACCCTCTCATCTCGAACAGTGTCCTTCATTGCAAGGCCCCACGAGGCCACTGGCAGCCTCCAGTGGACTTTTGTGAGCCCCCCCACGTGCGACCCCCGACAATATTTCAATATTTGCTGTTCTTTTGGTGAAGTCACGTAGATAGAAAATCGAATTAAAAGCAAAAAAAAACCCACGACGTTTCGATCGCAACACAAGCGTTCTTCATCAGGTGGAGAGAAAAAATAGACAAATGTCAAAACACCCCCCCCCCCCCCCATTGTACTGTTGTCAAACTCCAATAGTTTCAAATGTGGCTCCCCCCCCCCCGTCTTAAAATGTGTCATACCTTTGGTAGCCTACCTAGGGTGGAAGACTAGGCCTACCTCGTCTTCTACCCACACTCTACCACACGCCACCCGACTTGCCCCTGCCCGTGCTCCTGATGATGCACCGCACTGCCACGGCCTGGCTCAATAAGACTCGGGTGTCCGTGCTGAGGTTCTTTTTGGTAAAGAATCCTAAGAATCTCAAACGGGTCAGGCAATTTGTCCGAGCAGGTTTGACTGGAATGTCTTTCTCTCTCCACCCCTTCCCCACCTCTCTCTCTCTTTCTCTCCATCTCTCTTGTTTTACGATCAGAGGAAACAAGAATATGCTCGGTGTAGTCGGCACTTTGCTTCGTTCATCATTTCATTTTTTGGTGTTTTTTTTCAATGCTTTGCTTTATGTGCCCCCACCCCCCCCCCCCCTTTTTAAATGAAAGATTTCACTAAAGATTTTACGCTCTGCTCTCCCCCTTCTTACCCCTTCCCTCTCGCTCTCTACCCCCTCTCTCTACCCCCCCCCCCCTCTCTCTACCCCCTCTCTCCCTACTCCGTGTCTATGTTCCCCCTGTTTTATATATAACATTACATATAATATGTAATATTATATGTAAAATATATAATATTTGTAAACAAAAGATGTGCTACGACAAGCGCTGCATCTGCACCCATCTCTCTTTCTCCCTCTCTCTCCCTCGTCTCATCTCTCTTTCTCCCTCTCTCTCCCTCGTCTCATCTCTCTTTCTCCCTCTCTCTCCTTCGTCTCATCTCTCTTTCTCCATCTCTCTCCCTCGTCTCATCTCTCTTTCTCCATCTCTCTCCCTCGTCTCATCCCTCTTTCTCCATCTCTCTTTCTCCATCTCTCTCCCTCGTCTCATCTCTCTTTCTCCATCTCTCTCCCTCGTCTCATCTCTCTTTCTCCATCTCTCTCCTTCGTCTCATCTCTCTTTCTCCATCTCTCTCCCTCGTCTCATCTCTCTTTCTCCATCTCTCTCCCTCGTCTCATCTCTCTTTCTCCATCTCTCTTTCTCCATCTCTCTCCCTCGTCTCATCTCTCTTTCTCCATCTCTCTCCTTCGTCTCATCTCTCTTTCTCCATCTCTCTCCCTCGTCTCATCTCTTTCTCCATCTCTCTTTCTCCATCTCTCTCCCTCGTCTCATCTCTCTTTCTCCATCTCTCTCCCTCGTCTCATCTCTCTTTCTCCATCTCTCTTTCTCCATCTCTCTCCTTAGTCTCATCTCTCTTTCTCCCTCTCTCTCCTTCGTCTCATCTCTCTTTCTCCCTCTCTCTTTCTCCATCTCTCTCCCTCGTCTCATCTCTCTTTCTCCATCTCTCTCCCTCGTCTCATCTCTCTTTCTCCCTCTCTCTCCCTCGTCTCATCTCTCTTTCTCCCTCTCTCTTTCTCCATCTCTCTCCCTCGTCTCATCTCTCTTTCTCCGTCTCTCTCCATCGTCTCATCTCTCTTTCTCCCTCTCTCTCCTTCGTCTCATCTCTCTTTCTCCCTCTCTCTTTCTCCATCTCTCTCCCTCGTCTCATCTCTCTTTCTCCATCTCTCTTTCTCCCTCTCTCTCCCTCGTCTCATCTCTCTTTCTCCCTCTCTCTCCCTCGTCTCATCTCTCTTTCTCCCTCTCTCTCCATCGTCTCATCTCTCTTTCTCCCTCTCTCTCCCTCATCTCATCTCTCTTTCTCCATCTCTCTCCATCGTCTCATCTCTCTTTCTCCCTCTCTCTCCCTCGTCTCATCTCTCTTTCTCCCTCTCTCTTTCTCCATCTCTCTCCCTCGTCTCATCTCTCTTTCTCCCTCTTTCTCCCTCGTCTCATCTCTCTTTCTCCCTCTCTCTCCCTCGTCTCATCTCTCTTTCTCCCTCTCTCTCCCTCGTCTCATCTCTCTTTCTCCATCTCTCTCCCTCGTCTCATCTCTCTTTCTCCCTCTCTCTCCCTCGTCTCATCTCTCTTTCTCCATCTCTCTCCCTCGTCTCATCTCTCTTTCTCCCTCTCTCTCCCTCGTCTCATCTCTCTTTCTCCCTCTCTCTCCCTCGTCTCATCTCTCTTTCTCCATCTCTCTCCCTCGTCTCATCTCTCTTTCTCCCTCTCTCTCCCTCGTCTCATCTCTCTTTCTCCCTCTCTCTCCCTCGTCTCATCTCTCTTTCTCCCTCTCTCTCCCTCGTCTCATCTCTCTTTCTCCATCTCTCTCCCTCGTCTCATCTCTCTTTCTCCCTCTCTCTCCCTCGTCTCATCTCTCTTTCTCCATCTCTCTCCCTCGTCTCATCTCTCTTTCTCCATCTCTCTCCATCGTCTCATCTCTCTTTCTCCCTCTCTCTCCCTCGTCTCATCTCTCTTTCTCCCTCTCTCTCCCTCGTCTCATCTCTCTTTCTCCATCTCTCTCCCTCGTCTCATCTCTCTTTCTCCCTCGTCTCATCTCTCTTTCTCCCTCTCTCTCCCTCGTCTCATCTCTCTTTCTCCCTCTCTCTCCCTCGTCTCATCTCTCCAAAACTCTCTCCGTGTCCTCCTATTCCTCTCTCCCTCTTTGCCACAATCTCACGTGCTGGATGGTGCCCACCCACACACACACATCCACTCACACACATCCACCCACACACATCCACCCACACACCATACCCACCCACACATAAACGACAAAGATCCCCTGTATAGCCTTAGCAGACTGTAGGGGCAAGTGCTGTTAGCGAGCGCCTATCAAGGCCAGAACGGCACACGAGGGAGTGGGTGGCCAGCACCACGCCCGACCGTCTTTGTCTCCACAGTGGCGATGTTTACACACCGCACCAGGTACTCATTTGAGGCTGAGTCGACCTAGGGGAGGACCAGGACCCGTTCAGATAATCGTCACTGGTGTTGGCCGTGAGTGGGAATCGAACTCGGGTCGCCGGGTTCGTAGTGGAGCGCGCTAACCGCTACATTACCGCTCCCCACATGCCCACCTACCACATTCACCCACACACCCACCCACACCATCCTTTACTACGTACGCAAGTCAGTGCCGGGTTGGTGAAGGATGCATAGGTGTGGGGACATAGGAGTACAGTACAAGAGAACACAATACAGTGAGGGAAAAAAGTATTTGATCCTCTGCTGATTTTGCACGTTTGCCCACTGACAAAGAAATAATCAGTCTATAATTTTAATGGTACGTTTATTTGAACAGTGAGAGACAGAATAACAACAACAAAATCCAGTAAAACGCATGTAAAAATGTTATAAATTGACTTGCGTTTTAATGAGGGAAATAAGTATTTGACCCCCTCAATCAGAAAGATTTCTGGCTCCCAGGTGTCTTTTATACAGGTAACGAGCTGAGATTAGGAGCACACTCTTAAAAGGAGTCTCCTAATCTCAGCTTGTTACCTGTATAAAAGACACCTGTCCACAGAAGCAATCAATCAATCAGATTCCAAACTCTCCACCATGGCAAAGACCAAAGAGCTCTCCAAGGATGCCAGGGACAAGGTTGTAGACCTACACAAGGCTGGAATGGGCTACAAGACCATTGCCAAGCAGCTTGGTGAGAAGGTGACAACAGTTGGTGCGATTATTCGCAAATGGAAGAAACACAAAAGAACTGTCAATCTCCCCCGGCCTAGGGCTCTATGCAAGATCTCACCTCGTGGAGTTGCAATGATCATGAGAACGGTGAGGAATCAGCCCAGAACTACACGGGAGGATCTTGTCAATGATCTCAAGGCAGCTGGGACCATAGTCACCAAGAAAACAATTGGTAACACACTACGCCGTGAAGGATTGAAATCCTGCAGCGCCCGCAAGGTCCCCCTGCTCAAGAAAGCACATATACATGCCCGTCTGAAGTTTGCCAATGAACATCTGAATGATTCAGAGGACAACTGGGTGAAAGTGTTGTGGTCAGATGAGATCAAACTGGAGCTCTTTGGCATCAACTCAACTCGCCGTGTTTGGAGGAGAAGGAATGCTGCCTATGACCCCAAGAACACCATCCCCACCGTCAAACGTGGAGGTGGAAACATTATGCTTTGGGGGTGTTTTTCTGCTAAGGGGATAGGACAACTTCACCGCATCAAAGGGATGATGGACGGGGCCATGTACTGTCAAATCTTTGGTGAGAACCTCCTTCTCTCAGCCAGGGCATTGAAAATGGGTCGTGGATGGGTATTCCAGCATGACAATGACCCAAAACACACGGCCAAGGCAACAAAGGAGTGGCTCAAGACGAAGCAGTCTCCAGACCTTGATTCCATAGAAAATCTGTGGAGGGAGCTGAAGGTTCGAGTTGCCAAACGTCAGCCTCGAAACCTTAATGACTTGGAGAAGATCTGCAAAGAGGAGTGGGACAAAATCCCTCCTGAGATGTGTGCAAACCTGGTGGCCAACTACAAGAAACGTCTGACCTCTGTTATTGCCAACAAGGGTTTTGCCACCACGTACTAAGTCATGTTTTGCAGAGGATTCAAATACGTATTTCCCTCATTAAAATGCAAATCAATTTATAAAATTTTGACATGCGTTTTTCTGGATTTTTGTTGTTGTTATTCTGTCTCTCATTATTCAAATAAACCTACCATTAAAATTATAGACTGATCATTTCTTTGTCAGTGGGCAAACGTACAAAATCAGCAGGGGATCAAATACTTTTTTCCCTCACTGTACATAAATCCGAATTCAGTTCCTTTTCGACAAAAAATCCCAGGCAGGACAACTCTTTAAAGAGTGGCCTGGAACTCAATAAGATATTCCGGTCAATTGCAAACTATGCTGCTATCAAATCATCCCAAGCTGTGCCGGATCTTGTCGGATCTCGGAAGGTAAAACAAGTTTGAGTCTAGATGCTACTTGGGTGGAATTTTACCCGTTGGAGGCTTGAACTGCGAGGTGGCTAGGAGCTTCCAGCAAAGCAATAGACGCTTGGAATCCATCTGTGCGGAGCTGTGGGAGTGTTAACAACCCTCGTACACAGTGCGGCGGGGGTTTCTACGCATCCTTTGGTTTCCGCCGATGAGCACGGTTGGCTGCGTACGGTGCGAAAGAAGTCCAACATACGTCCGTACGTATACACACGAAGCGAGACTCTCCGTTGATCAAAATGTGCAGACATCTCATTGTCGTAAGCACCGTCCTGACAAAAGAGCCTCGAGACTCGTGTTGTGGCGGAATTAAAAGTATTCTGGGAGGATTAGAAAGATGTGCCACTGCATTATGCCATTTTCCCGCTTGTCATTGTCGTAAGATGTACGTGGTCTATCTGTAGTGCTGCATTTTTTTTCACGAGTTGGAGGGTTGTGTGTGTGGGGAGGGGGACCTTGTCCAAAAAAAAAAATCCGTGACATTTCGTTTTATCCGAAAGAAAGTCATAAAAGCAAAGTTTCAGAGCGGCAATCGCTTAGGTAGCCGCAGCGTTTTGGGGGCCTTAATGAGACGGAGAGAGACAGGGAGAGAGCCTCTCTGGCTCGGCTCGCTCGACGCATCACGACGGCGTCTTCCACTCAACGCCAGCAAAGCAGCAAAGCAGCCTCCGCCGCCGGCCGCCTTTGTTACCAGGGACAGCGCAAATTACTCGAGACAAAAGAGACAGATTTAAAAACTAAAGAATCCTGCTTTCATTTTAACACGGACAAAAAAATTCTCACTCCTCCTCCTCCCCCCTCTCTCTCCTCTCTCTCTCTCCCCCACCCACTCCAGCCCCATACCCATGAGGCAAGTGCGAAGATTTTCTCACGGAAGACATTGCAGTCTCTCCTGCCCCGAAAAGCGATCTTTATTTCTTTCTTTCCTGCGCGGAACAAAATAAAATGTCACTTGAAAATAAAAGTAGCCGTGAAATGTAATGGCAAAAAAATAGGTGAACGAGACGACAAGAAGGAGAAGTGCTGGGGTATGAAGATGAAGGGGGGGGGGGGGGTGGAGGGGTTAAGGGAGGAGGGGGAAGGAAGGAGGGGGGGGAGTGCAGTGAAGGAACGGGAAAGAAATAATGTCGCAGATTTCAATGGCGAAGCGGTAGAGCTTCCCTGTGTCACCCGGCGCAGGACAGAGCTGTCATTATCGCTGTCATCCTCAATAAACGCTCTTCCCGTGCCTGTCACTCACGCGAGCGGCCCCCAAACAGCAGAGCCGCAGCCGATCCCCGGCGCCTTCGAATCCGACAGCCAAAACACCGCCTTGGCGCGCGCCACTTCCTCGTTGGCGCGCTGCGTTCGCTCCGTGGACGGGAGGAGGAGGGAGGAGGAGAGGGGACCAAAGTGGGGGTGGAGGAGGGGGGGCGCAAAGCAGGGAGCGCCGGGCACAGAGCCACCCCGCCACTCACTCAGCAACCAACCTCCACATCCCGACTCGCTCTCATCCCGAGCGGCTTTGCCGCGACACCCAGACACCCCCACACACATCCACCCACACGCCACATCCACCCACACGCCACATCCACCCACACACCACATCCACCTAAACACCCACACCACATCCACCCACACACCACATCCACCCACACACCACATCCACCCAAACACCCACACACATCCACCCACACACCACATCCACCCACATACATCCACCCACACACCACGTCCACCCACACACCACATCCACCCAAACACCCACACACATCCACCCACACACCACATCCACCCACACACCACATCCACCCACACACCCACACACATCCACCCACACACCATGCCCACCCACACACATCCACCCACACACCACATCCACCAAAACACCCACACACATCCATCCACACACCATACTCACCCACACACCATGCCCACTCATACACACCCGCACTCAAACACCCACACACATCCACCCACACACATCCACCTACACACATCTACTCACACATATCGACCCACACACCATACCCATCAACACCCACCCACACACATCCACCCACACACCATAACCACCCACACACATCCACCCACACTTCATACCCACCCACACACCATACCCACTCACACACCATACCCACCCACACACATCCACCCACACACCATACCCACCCACACACCATACCCACCCACACACCATATCCACCCACACACCATACCCACCCACACACATCTACCCACACACCACTTCGCACCTCCGATTGGCACCGTTAGCTACGTACAGTGCGAAAGAATTTCAACATCGTACATACTTCGTCAGGATGTCCGTGGTCACCACGTTCCTCTACATGGATGGTCACGGTTGTGCTGTGCACGGCTCCCACCGGTTGTGCCGCTTACTGCCAATGTGGGGGGGGGGGGGTGCTGGTGACTTCCCCCCCATCAAAGACAAAGATTCCCAGTATAGCCGTAACAGACTGTTGGGGCAAGTGCTGTAAGCGAGTAGCACCCATGAAGGTGCTATTCGGAACGGCACTCGAGAGGGTGGGTAGCAAGCATCACGCCCGGCCGCCTTTGTCTTCCTGACGGCGATGTTTACACGTCGCACCACGTGCTCATTTGAGGCTGAGTCGACCTAGGGGAGGTCCAAGACCGATTTAAATAGTCGTCGTTGGTCGTTGGCCGCAAGCGTGTTCGTAGTGCAGCGCGCTAACCGCTGCACCACCGCTCCCAACACCACCTCCAACACCACCACCACCACCACGACGCCGTCGCCCACCCCGCCCGCTCCCGTGGGCTCCGGTGCAGTTACACCGCCTGCGCACTCGACAGCTGTGCCGTACGCACATTGTAGAGCACGATGTCTGTGATCCGGCGATTCGGAGGCTAGGGTTGGTGGCTCGCGTGTTGGTTTGGCACGATGGGTGGGTGGTTTCTCCGGGAGGCGTGCTTCTCAATTAGGTTCCCTTGCAGAAGCTCCCACGCAGCACGTTGGTGCGAAACGTCGGACGTCAGGCCACGTGCAAGGGGAACCGAACACTCGCGCGTGTGGAGCCGAACAAGCGAGCTGGTGTAGCGGGACCCTCCTGATGATCTAAAGAGCAGTCTTTGAGGCTTGCCGAGATCACACAAAAAATAATTGGCGATATATTTACAGTCTCGTACATTGGGGGTTGCGGCGAGCGGTGGTGCAGTAGTTGGCGTACCGCGCTCACGAAACCCGGTGAGCCGATTTCGATTCCCGCTCACGGCCAGCATCGGTGAAGACCACGTGAGCCGGTGCTAGGCTTCACCCTAAATCGATTCAGCCTCAAGTGAGTACCTGGTGCTGTGAGTAAACATCAGCACCGGGGAGACAAAGGCGGCCCGGCGTGGTGTTGGCCGCCCAACCCCTCGTGTGCCGTGCCGGCCTTAATAAGTGCAACTCGCTGAAGAGCACTTTGCCACCACAGTCTGTGAAGACTACGAGGGGGATCTTCGTCCGTTTACAAATACCAACATTTTTTTCAAAAAGCGATTTTGGCTTTGGATATGGGAGTGGCCCAGGCGTTGTACATGAATGCCCGTGGAGAGTTTGTGAGCATGTTAGTTACTTGGTTAGTGTTAAGCGTTCCCAGGGCTACCGTAACGTATGCAGAAGAAGCCGGTTTCATGGCAGGACAGATGACTCCACGTGCGTTCGTGTCAGCACCTGATGTAGTTCGTCAATGGTAAACAGGGGCGGAGCCAGGGGGGGTGACAGGGGTGACATTCTGCGTATAAGTGTACGATACTCGGTCTGGCGGACTCCGTGCAACTGCATTGTCAGAGTGTGTCGCCAACCGATGGCGTCTAGTTCAACAGCCTGACTCTCTAATCATTCTTGAAATTAAAATTTGTTGAATGTCATCCGGCCTAATATCCTGGCTCCGCCCCTGCTGGTAAACATCATTATAATGTGCAGCCCAGGATGAAAGCCTCCGCCACCCGCGCCATGTAAGTCATGGTGGCGTTGGGGGGGGGGGGGGGGGTTGACCATACTTCACCACACTGGTTAGTGTAAGTTGTTGAATAGTGGAACGGGTGGGGGAGAGGGCACGGGTGGGTTGCCAGGTACGGTTCAAGTAAAATGCGCCATTGTTTTTTATTAACCCTAGCTAGGAATAAAATTCAGGTTTTGTGGGATAATGGCACACTGTGCTATATCCTGCGCTGTGTTAAGATGTTTACACCTGTTTTATTGCCAGAAAGGGTAAAACCTCTTCTTATTTTTTCATACTTTGATACTGACACAAAAAGGTCTCCTTTGATGCAGCTGCTCACCCCAAGCTGTAAGTGGTCTGACAGTGGCACTGTCTGTGTGCTGTTAGCCTTGTGGCGTCCTGTGTTCTGACACTGGCGAGACAAGGCCACAATAAAGAAGGCTGTCTCTGGTGTAGACCAATCAGTTTGCTAAGCCAATGTATATATTATTACCAGAGCGTGTTTGTTTGCATGTTCGCCACAAGTACTGCGTGTGGTTAATGCAAACCTGATTCCTTGCAAAAATGTTTCCATTTGGTGTTTGGACATCTTAACACCTCCTGTTTGATTGCCTCAAAAGGGTAAAACACCTATTATTATTATTTTGGTCATACGTTGAACTTCTTTCCCACCGTACGCAGCCGACCGTTTGCCAAAGCGGAGGCGCGAAGGTCAACGAACTGAACCCAACAAGTGTGGAACTCCTTAAAGAAGGCAAGTTTTCCACGGCGACTTCAAATGGCACGCCACGGTAAGTAAGCAAGCCGAACCCGTGCGAAGGAATGCTTTGCAAGAGTGGGCCCTTGCTGTTTATTGACATTAGAGTGACGTGTTTTTTTGTAATTTGAAATAAAAAATATATACGGTTGGTGCAGTGAGCTCCGTGCGATTTACACGAACTCAACATAAGCCGCGGAGCATTTGCGTTGTTTGCCCAACTTGAAAAGTGTTCAGCCCACGGGGGATGGGATGCTGCGGGGGAGGAGGGAGGGCTACTACATATGTAGTAGCTACTACATATGTAGTAGCTACTACATATGTATGGTGTAATAGCTACTACATATGTAGTAACTACTAGTAGTAGCTACTACATATGTAGTAGCTACTACTACTACGTATGGTGTAGTAGCTACTACTACATATGTAGTAGTAGCTACTACACCGTACGTAGCCAACCGTGCTGGGTGTGTTGAACTTCTTTCGCACCGTACGTAGCCAACCGTGCTATGTGTATGTTGAACTTCTTTCGCACCGTACGTAGCCAACCGTGCTATGTGTGTGTTGAACTTCTTTCGCACCGTACGAAGTCAACCGTGCTGTGTGTATGTTGAACTTATTTCGCACCATACGAAATCAACCGTGCTGTGTGTATGTTGAACTTCTTTCGCACCGTACGTAGCCAACCGTGCTATGTGTATGTTGAACTTCTTTCGCACCGTACGAAGTCAACCGTGCTGTGTGTATGTTGAACTTATTTCGCACCATACGAAGTCAACCGTGCTGTGTGTGTGTGTTGAACTTCTTTCGCACCATACGAAATCAACCGTGCAGTATGTATGTTGAACTTCTTTCGCACCGTACGAAGCCAACCGTGCTATGTGTGTGTGTTGAACTTCTTTCGCACCGTACGAAGCCAACCGTGCTGTGTGTGTGTTGAACTTCTTTCGCACCGTACGTAGCCAACCGTGCTAATCGGAGGTGCGGGGGGGGGACACAAAAAGCAGTTCTCAATAAATGAGTTTGTCAATCTAGATGATGATTATTTAAAAGTGCATAGCTCGCAGTGGCTTCCTAATATGGGAAGGAAGAGCGTTCCAGACGGCCGCAGAAGCGTACCTGAATTCACGAGATGCGAGTGGCCATCGTCTTCGTGTCGATGGCTTAGCAGCCCAAAAACCACCGCTGCTGCGAGGACGACCGGGACACACGTGATGGTTTACGCAGTTGTTGTAGTTGTTGCTAACAACAACAACGCACCCACCACCAGCGGCTGGGCTGACGTCGCGTGCGTGATGGTACGGGGGCTGGGGGAGGGAGGGGAGAGTTGGAGGGGGGGCAGGGGACTGGGGTTTGGGGGCATGCAGTCGAAGCCCCCTTTGTGATACCAACAAAAAAACAAGAACACGTAGATGGGGATCGAGGCGCGACGCGCGATCGCTGCGTAAACAAAACCTCTGCCCGTGCCATTGGCCCCTGTGGATCACTGCCCGCCACCCAGCAGCCTGACCCTCTCTCTCCTCTCTGTCTGTGTTTTGCTTCTTGTTCGGCTGACCGCTACGGTGTGAGCGCGTGTCCGTTCGTCCGTGGGAGCTGTGGTGCAGCGGTTAGCGCGCCCCGGTACGGAACCCGGCCACCCGAGTTCGGATTCGCGTTCACGGCCCACACCGGTGACGATTATCTGGGCCTCCCCTAGGTCGACTCAGCCTCAAATTAGCACCTGGTGCGGTGGGTAAACATCGCTGCTAGGGACACAAAGGCGGCCGGGGGTGGTGCTGGCCACACACCCCCTCGTGTGCCGGACCGGCCTCCATAAGTGCTCGCTAACAGCACTTGCCGCAAAAGTCGGTTGAGGCTACACGGGGGATCTTTGTCTTTGTCACTGGTGACCGGGCTGAGACCATCAACTGAACGCACCTGGGAGCCCGATTTGAGCACGGGCAATGGCTGTCACCTGAATTCGAACCCAGGTCCTCAGCGGTGCCGGCTGAGCGCTTTGCCCTCTGTGCTGAACATTCAGCGCAATGAGCAGGCCCAGTGGCATCAACAAACAGGGGGGTCACATCGTGGAGACGTCGTCCGCGGATGAAGCGGTGACGCAGCGGTTAGCGCACTGAGCTTGGACCACCCCCCACCCCATCCCCCGCAGACTGACTTTGATTCCGAAGCCACGGCCAATGCTGTCCACCCCGCAGTGACCAGCGCGGTGAAGTATGGTCAAACAACCTGGCGCGACGAACGCAACTTAGGCTTCGGGTCAGCGTGGTGAAGTATGGTGAAAAAACCCCCGTGACCAGACACGGCGTGGGGAGGCTCTCATTCGGGAGAGGTAGGGTGGGGGTGGCATGGAGCGGTGGCGCTGCGGTTAGCGCACTACACCACATAACCCCTCTGTGCCTGTCTTCGATTCACTGCCGTGGCTAACATCGGCGAGCGACGGGCGATATCTCTGCATCGGAATCGGAGCGATGCCACGGCGCGAACGCGCGACTGAACCAGCGTGGTGAAGTATGGTCAAGCGTACCCCCTCCGTGGGTGGAGGGCTTCATCATCCAGCAGCGGATTGACAAATGGGGCTGTATATCATTATAATTATCATCATCCCCATCGTCGTTAGAGTAATGATCACAATTACTCGTTGAGGCTGATGTGGAGGGACCTGTGGTCCGTCTGCGTTTGGTGGGACACTTTGCTGCCACGAGTGCTGATTTTTCTTCGTCTTTCCCGTCTTCCGTAATTAGAGAACGAATATTATCCATCTGTATATATGTATAGAACAAACAAAAAAATCCGCCGCCACTGCCGCACGAACGGAGTGCAAGATGTGGCTGGCGGGGGGGGGGGGTGTTGGTGAGTCACGGTTCATCTGTGCAGTCGACTGTCCCTCCCACACGCCCGCTCGTCTCGCCTACCCGGGCCACTGCCGCCGCTGTTACCACTGCCGCTGTTGTCGCTGCTGCTGTTACCACTGCCGCTGTTGCCACCGCTGCTGCCGTCGTTGCTGCTGTTGTTGCCGCTGCTATCAGACGGAATGGATTGACAGCGCGTAGCGAGAACTCGGCACATTCATCAAAAGCATTGCCCCCAAAGATGAAGGAAATATAATCGGCAACGTTTCGGGCAATGACCTTTTGATAACGAAAGTTCGTCTCGTGGACTTTTTTTCCCCTTCATAATTCCTCTGCTATGAGATGTTCCTGGTAATGACCCTTCTCCCCCCCCCCCCAACCGTGCGACAGCAGTTCCCGGTGGCTTCCAAGCTTACCGTGGGCCTCCTCTAGGTAGGTGGGTAATGGTGAACGTCGCGGAACGCGGTGCTGTTCACAGCACCCCCCACCCCAACGCGTGTTCCACTCGCTCCGTAATCGGCGCTCGCCAACCGCGCTCGCTATTGTTCAACGGCAGCAGCGCCACCAGGCCGGGTTTTGGAACCCTTCGCTTTGCTGCGTTTGTTTCAGGGCCAAGCGAGACAAAGAATACGGCCCCACGAGTTGAATGCAAAGAAGTGGGGGGGGGGGGGAGCAAAGACACGGACACGCAGCAGCCGGGCGGACAAACACAATTACAGCGACTCCGTAAACACCGCGACTCTCTCTCTCTCTCTCTTCGTGACTGTGTACGAGCTCTCAGGATGTCCCCCCTGGCAGCTGAATTCGCTGCCACGCGTGCGAGTGCCTGCGTGTGGTGTCAGCTGAGTCGGTGCCTGGCGCGGTGTGTCAAACGTAGCCACAAAGGCGGCTGGGCGTGGTGCTGGCCACCCAACCCGTCTCGCGTGCCGTTGCCGGCCTTCATAGGTGCTCGCTAACAGCACTTGCCCCAACAGTCTGTTGAGGCTATACGAGGGATCTTTGTCTTTTTTGATGACGACGATGATGACGACGACGACAAACGCTAAGGAACGCACCGCTTTGGAAGTACGGGGTTGGTGTACCACCGACAGATTTGTGAACCCCCTATTCTCCTAAAAAAACCCCACCAGGGCTGCTGCTCGTGAAGCCGTTTACATTGGCCAACTCACCCTGAGTGTGTTCCATCTGATCAGATGCGAGAAGCTAAACCGTAGTTTTGGGGACCTGGTTAACAAGCGGATGGGAGAGATTTGCTCGGGAATGCCAGGTGTTGTAACCTCGGGCTATGTGGTGTCCAGGATGTGGCAGTACAGCAAGCAGGTTCGCGAGCGTGTTCTCTGCTGTCTCTTTTCTGTCGCGTTGTGGGCCCTGTTCTCCGAGTTCTACCAGTTTCCTCCCCACGCGAAGCCATAGTTTAATTAGCAATGGAATTTTGCCAAACCATCATCATCATAATCGTCGTCATCACCTCCCCAAAGTACTCTGTCGAGAACGAGCCTTGAAACTTAGCGAGTTCCTTGTGGAGTAAAGGAACGACATCATCATCGTCGCACGTACGGTGCAAAAGAAGTTCAACATAGAGAGAGATAAAGAGCGAGCGAGGGCACTAGTCGTGATTAACTCCACCGTGGGGGAGCGAGGGGGGGGCTGCTGGGGGGTGGTTGGGGTGAGGGAGGGGGCTAATTACGCGTGTAATTAAGCGGCGAGGGATCGATGGCAGCCCCCGTCCCCTCTCGCCCCCCCCCACCATCACCACCACTGCACTCTGAGTCAACAATCAGTGCCCTTACATCAGCGTGATCGCCGCTCAAGGGCCAAGGTTCAATTCATTCCGCGGGCTCCGAAGCGCCCACAGCGGACGCCCAACGCCATCCAATAAATCCGCGGCCGCGCAGTTAAATTAAATGTCCCTCCCTCCCCTCCCTCCCCTCCCTCCCCAACAGCCACCCACAAACACGGCCGTGCTGAATTGGCAAATACAGAGAGAGACAACAAGACAAAGATAAAGGTACCCCCCGTATAACCTTCACAAGCTGCTGGGCCAAGTGCTCTTGTTAGCGCGAGACTATTATGATGCTGATCATGGGCAGAGTTTGGGTGAGTGGATGGGGGAGGCACGGGGGGAACATCGCCCCCTAAACTGGACACCTTTATTAATTTATTTTCAATAGTTTAAAATTAAGATTCAAAATAAAGTATTGTATGCACCCGCGGTTCCTAATGTGAGTGACATCCCCCCAAATATAGAAGTCAAACTCCGCCTGTGATGATTATAGAGGCGAATACTTATGTTTACACATCGCACCGGCTAGCCTCTTCAGTTAAGGCCGAGCCGACCTAGGGGACGACCAGCAACCGGTTCAGATAATCCCCACCGATGTTAGTTCGCCGTGGCCGGGAGAGAGGGAATCGAACTCGGGCCGTCGGGTTTGTCGGCTGGTGAACTGTGCAGTGTCCTAACCACGAGTCCCCCCCCCGACCGATAATCAATACTCTGCAGGACCCACACACGCGCATGTGCGTGTGTGCGGCAGCGCTAATGTTAAGTACAATTTCTCTTTACAGCATCGTCAATTGCGACCGTCAACCTGCTAATCAGCGCTGACCCGCAAAAACCCACATCGCTCAGCGGGGTTTCATCAGGAAGTGGGGGAGATAAGTCAACTTGTTGTGGATCGTATTTGTCCTGTCTCGGTGTGTGTCGGTGTGTGGGTGCGTGTGGGTGCGTGTGTGTGTGTGGGTGCGTGTGTGTGGGTGCGTGTGTGTGTGGGCGCGTGTGTGCGTGTGTGTGTGGGTGCGTGTGCGTGCGTGTGCGTGCGTGCGTGTGTGCGCGCGTGTGTGTGCGCGCGTGTGTGAGTGCGTGTGTGTGCGTGCGTGTGTGCGCGTGTGTGCGCGTGTGTGTGTGTGTACGTGTGGAGGAGCGGTTATGTCGCGGTTAGCGCGCTGCGCTATGAACCTGGCGACCCGGGTTCGATTCCCGCTCACGGCCAACACCAATGACGATAATCTGAACCTGTCCTGGGCCTCCCCTAGGTCGACTCAGCCTCAAATGAGTACCTGGAGCGGTGTGTAAACATCGCCACTGGGGAGACAAAGGCGGTCGGGCGTGGTGCTGGCCACCCACCCGCTCGTGTACCGTTTCGGTTTTCATAGGTGCTCGCTAACAGTACTTGCCCCTATAGTCTGTTAAGGCTATTCGGGGGATCTTTATCTGTGTGTGCGCGGGTGCGTGTGTGTGCGTGCGTGTGCGCGGGTGCGTGTGCGCGGGTGCGTGTGTGTGTGTGCGTGCGTGTGGGTGGGTGCGTGTGTGTGGGGGCGTGTGTGTGCGAGCGGTGGTGTAGCCGTTAGCGCGCTGCGCTACGAACCCGGCGTCCCGAGATCGATTC